CTTTGCTGACCTTGAAGTGCAGATTTCGTGGCAGGTGCAGTACTTTGCTGACCTTGAAGGGCAGATTTCGTGGCAGGTGCAGTACTTTGTTGACCTTGAAGTGCCTATTTTGGGGGACTTTTGGGGAACCTAATTAAGAAAACTACCCCCAAAATCGACCATGTTGGTAGTTTAGTAGCGGCTTGAAAGGGCGGCAATTCAAAACCAAATATAAACCGAATTTAGGGGTTCGGACGTGGTGTTTTTTTAATTGGGGAGTGTTTATTAATAGGTACTCGGGATTAGCGTCCTTGCTCCTAGTAGCGATGCCAGGAGCCCCTAGTAGCGTCCTTGTTACTGTATCTTGTGTTGAGTTGGCACTTGCGGCGTACCAATGAGTTGCGAAACACTAAAGCGGCGAGCGCACCGGTTCATCGCTGCGGGACCGATGTGGGAGCGGGCGACTTGCCAAACTCTGAGCAGTGTACTGAAAAAACAAAGGAAGGACCAACGTGTGAACAGATGAAAACAAGGAAGGTTCTAGAAGGCAGACGCCTTTGAAAGCAAGTTCTAGAAGTACTTCTAGATCCAATCCTTGCCTTTCTTTTGGCATTTTGTCCAGCTTTCCTGACTCAATCTGCTGCGACTACCTGGACTGCTCATGCCGCGTTTTTTGTGGAGCGTCTTCTTTTTCGGTCGCTACTTCCGTTGTAGTGTGCCACTCACCGCGTCTCACCGCACATGAATGGACAAGCACCTTCCCTCGTGCGAAGAGATATTATGCCAAGTGGCCGTCAGGCTCGGATGTTTAGAATTGCGGCTTGAGCAGTCAGATTCAACTAAGGCAGGTGTGGAGTTTCTCGCTGATGGTAGTGCCATGTTGTTGCTTTCTGAGCACCGATCGTGTTGCTCAGCAGCTTTGCAATGGATACTTCGCCAGAAGCTGCCACTTGTTTGTGGTGGATATTTTGTGGCGGCTTGCTTTTTTGCATTGGATGATGCGATGTTCGTTTGCGGGGCGGGCTACTTTCCTGCCTATAAATGATGTGTTGATAAGTGCTGTCAAAGCGGGGTTACTAAGCAATATAGAAAATGCAATAGAAATTGCATCATTGCTTTTTTCTCGGGGCCCGACGAACCTGAAAAGGTCAAACGTGTGCACGTGTCAGTAAAGGCCTTGCCACTAGAAGTAATGCCCTTGAACACACTAATGTTGTGTTTGCTTGCGCGTTCACTGTCACCCAGGGTGTCTGTGTTTTCGCACGAACAAAAAGCAGATTGTTACGTCGTGAGCAAATCTCAATCTCCAACGTGTATGCCACTAGGAGCAAAGGGCATCGCTACTGGAAGCAAGGACGCTACAAGGGGCTCCTGGCCTTACTACTAGTAACAATAAATCTACTATTGTCTTTTTTCATCTTATTGCCACATGGTGACGCAGCCTGGTGAAGTCCAGTCGGGTTTGCGTAGCAAGTCCTCACCAGAAGAAAGACAATAGAACATGACCAACATTGATAAATAGAGGGAAACATGACTACATCGTTGGCTAATCAAGCAATTGCTAATTCTTGCAGGGCGCTTCCTAGAAGACTCGGAGGAAGCAGAGGAAAAGGGGAAAGCCATGGTATACTTTGCTGATTTGGTATTTCTTCAACCTGTACGATGATTCGGTAGAACAGACATGACAGCACCAGCAGTTGCTCCAAACAACTGAATCGGGCAGGGACACATCGGTTTTATACGCCCTTCTTGCTGCAAATATATGTAAGGCACTTGTTCCTAGTAGCTTCTTGTTACTACTAGTAAGGCACCTGTTACTACTCGCGATGCACTTGTTCCTAGAAGCTTCTTTGTTACTATATATATATATATATGTTTGTGCAACATCATTTGTACCAGCCAGGATATACATTGCTTGGAATGCGTGGGGCACGCTCCGGACTGCGCGTGGGACTGTTCCATGTGTCATTAAGACGTGGATCTTAGAGGTGACGAAGGGCCTCCGCCTACTAGCAATGGCCTCCACCCTAGTAGCCATGGCCTCCGCCTAGTAGCGATGGCCTCCACCACATGTGTTTGTACAGAATCATTGAACATGTTCATGGTTTGTCCCAATGGCAACTGGAATCCTGCAGAAAGTGTCGGAACATTTTGCGAGGACCTCCCATTTGCGCCGTCAAGCCAAACATTGGATGCTATGGTGGCAGTACTGCAAGCCAGATTAGTCACACCGTGGAGGCGTGCATCCCATGCTCTTTTTTGCCCACATGAACACATCACCAAGAGTTTAGGGTGTCAAATCATCCTCCGGAAGATCCAAATGCATGTGTGACTTGTGACTTTTTGACAGACAGGAATGGAAGTATGGATCATTGTCGAACCCGTGTGCGTCCTTCTCATGAGCAAACATTTTGTAAAGCTGCTGCGATCACAGTGCCTGCTTGAAGCAGCATGTTGGTGTGGCAGTTTTCCAGAAGCTTTTGAATGGCTTCTTTGATTTTCTTGCCATGGCGAGCGTAAAACAAATCACTATAAATTGATTGATCTCCGAAATACAAATCCTGGTATCAAGGATAAATTACTAGTAACAAAAATACTATTAAATGGAAATCATTATAAATAGGTATCGTTACCAAAAGTAGTACATTATTAATATTTTATATATTAAATAATTATGATATGTATAATTTGAATAAATTATATTTAAAATATTTTTATATAAATATGAGATGTACGTTGCGTATTGGGCTTGAATTTTTTATGTTCGATCGTTGGTGTTGTTTTCTTTTTCGAATTCGGTCCGATGGAGACCTTTTGAGGTTTATGTCGGCATTAAAAATGCGCGATATACGTTTGCACTTCCGTGACGCCATTTCGAGCGATCGATTATTTGAGTGTGTTTACGTGTATGGTCCACATTCTTCTTATTGGTAGCGGAGTCGCTTAAAACGGAGGTTCCCGCGGCGCGTTATATTTGGCACCGATTTTCCATCGCGGAAAGGAAACTCATCTTCCGCGGCGGCTGGCATTGCGATGAATGATGTAGGCGGTGGGCTTCGAGACATTAAAAACGACTATATATCGCGCTTCGAAAATTCGAACCACTACTTACAGGGAATGGCGGCGCAGAATACTTCTGTATTTACGGAAGCTGGAGTTTCAGGGACGTAAGGCCGAGGTTCTTCTCAATGTCCTCGCTGCTCTCGAAGGCCCTAACTGGACGTAGTGGGAGG